GTAAGGTTGACAACCTTCCTGTCACTTTCTTTCCCAGCCGTCACTTTCCTGCCGCAGTGCTGGCTGGCGTCTCCCAAGGGAGTGATTTCCACACCAGAACACCCTTCTCCATCATCTGGCCTCGCTGGCAATGTTATCTCTGTGTATCTTTGTGTTTTAATCCATATTTATCACGGAATATTGATCATAATTAGTTTTTGAAGTCATGTGAACTGTTGAATGTGTCATTTGTTCTTAGAAAAGGCTCAGGAATTTGCCGTAAGAATTTTCTCATGTTAGTGATTTTCTCATGTTGTTAGGGATTTTTTTATGCTGTTAGGCCTTATTAAACTCTCAAAAACAGTTCATCTAACTCGCTAATAACCAGTGAAACGAGGCAGTTGGATACGAAAGTCACAATCCTGTATTATCCAAGTAAGCCGTACCACATTCAGAGAACACCTGATCAACCAGACTGTGACTCGTACGTCAGGCTGCGAGTAGGCGCATCGAACAGCCTGGTTGATCAGATCAGCAACGAGGAGGCCTGGTCAGAGACCGGGCCGAAGGGAACGTTGATCCTCGGAATCAACACGTAAACAGGTAGTCCTTCACTGGTCAAGGGAGCTGTTGCTTCTTGTATGCAGTTCCCAATTAACACTGGGGTGGAAAACTCTGCAGACTCCATTATCAGTTGTCAAGGGTGAGACACTTGAACACTTACACTCCCGGTAATACTTTGCTAGTGTGTATAAGTGGTAATAATTGGCTAATAGGTGTTAATACTTAGCTAGTGTGTGTAAGGGGTAATACTCGGCTAGTAAGTGGTAATACTAGGCTAGTGTATAAGTGGTAATACTTAGCTAGTGTATAAGTGGTAATACTTGGCTAGTAAGTGGTAATACTTGGCTAGTGTATAAAGCTGTAATAGTTGTTAATCAAGTGGTAGAGACCTAATGACCAAGAATAAAGTTTCCTATGTTATTTATCCTCAGTAATGAAGATAAATAAAGTGAACTGTTGCAGGTTATCAATAAAGTTAGTAAAGTCAACTGTTGTACGTTATCAATAAAGCTGGTAAAGTCAACTGTTGTACGTCAGTTTGCCAACTTAATAACTAGCTCAACGGACAGGAATATTAATATACTGTACCATATTCCATGTTATATACCCGAGGTGCATCTGTAATAATAGTATCAATAAGACAAACACACATCTGCAAGAATATAGCTTTGAGATATACACACATATATATATATATATATATATCACGAAAATAAACACGTGATTAAGAATGTGACAATGTCAGACCACGGAGGAAAAATGAAACTGTTGAAAATGAAAAATGAAAATCACTAACATTTATTGTATATATTTACTTCTTTATGTTATAATTACCTATATATTATGCTTGTATGTCTGCTGTATCAGATGGGCCATTGGGCTACATCGGATGTGCCAATTGGGTGCATCTGATGGGCCAATGGGCCGTCTGCGTTGTCCAAGTATTGTACCTCACCTTACTTCACCACTCCTTCCTGCCTATTTATACCCATCACTCGATCTGTAAAATGACCTTCTGAAGATGTATTTAATATACGAAAGTACTTAAGGAAATTTCCTGTTTCATTTTTCCTCCGTGGTCTGACATTGTCATATATATATATATATATATATTATATACCGAAAATAGTCACAAGCTCTGTCGGTTATTGGTTTTAAAACACAGACGACTTTCCAATACGTTTGTACAGCCTGTGGCCGATTGGTTACGGTACTGGTCACGCCGAGAGGCATGCAGGCCCTGGCTGACCGGGTTCGAATCCTTCAGGGGTAAAGAGTTTTCTGATCCATGTTTGCTTGGGGAACATTCAAGCTTGACACACATATACACACAATATATATATATATATATATATATATATATATATATATATATATATAAAATATATATAATATATATATATATATATATATATATATATAAATATATAAAATATATAAAATATATATATTATATATATATATATATATATATATATATAGAAAAAAATTTAGTTTTATATATATGCGACCTTTTGTTCCATCGAACAAAAGGTCTTAGTCGACATGAACTTGAAACCGGCCATATACTGCAGGTATGTTGACGACATTTTTACACAGGTACCCGATGTTAGACATCTGCAGGAGCTGAAGGAGGCATTTGAGCAGAATTCTGTGTTGCGTTTCACTTACGAGATGGAGAAGGATGGGAAGCTGCCCTTTCTAGATGTAACAGTCATGGAAAGGAGCGGAGGTTTCCACACTGCAGTCTACACTAAGGAAACATAGGAATGTGCTTCAATGCCAACAGTGACTGCCCAGGCAGATACAAGAGGAGTGTTGTTAACGCTTATGTCGACCGTGCTCTCAGCCACAGCTCAGGATGGGAGGAAGTCGATGAAGAACTCTGTAGGGTAAGGCAGGTCCTAGTCAACAACGGCTTCTCCAATGGTTTCGTTGAAGACATCATAAGAAGGAAGGTGAAACGCCATGCAACCTCTGAAGAGACAACTAACCCAACACCTGTACCCCCTATTAGACTATTTTACAGGAACTTCTTTTCCACAGCTCATAAAACGGAGGAAAGGGTCCTGAAAGATATTGTTAATAGGAATGTTATCCCTACAGACAAAAATCAGAAGATACAATTGACGATTGACTATAAAACCAAGAAAACGGCCAACCTACTCATGAGAAACTCTCCAGACACAAAGCAGAACGCTTTAAAAGAGACCAACATCGTCTATGCCTTCAAATGTCCTCTTGGGGACTGTAAGCCTCAAAGAACTCAGTATATAGGCAAGACAACAACATCTCTTTCCAGGCGATTAACGATGCATAAGCAACAGGGCTCCATTAAGGAATATATAATCTCTTCCCACAACCAGACCATCACCAGAGAAGTCTTAACAAAAAACACAGAAATCATCGATAGATACAGCGATAGAAGGTGGCTTGATATCTGCGAGGCACTACACATCATGAAGTCAACACCAGCAATCAACAGCCAATTAATGCACAACTATATTCTACCCACTTCAAGACTCCGCACCAATATAGAAGCATCAAGAAATATGAGCCAATAGGCCCTTTGCAGTTACTTCCATTCTTCCCTTTAAACTTACCCAATATTATACCCATTGTTTCGTGTTCTGTCTTGTGTTTTGACCTCATCCAAAACTGTTCTAACATATCACCTCACCCAAATGCAGGTATATAAAATTAAAGCCATTTAAATTATAGCATAGTATGACTCTGTTTAGTGTTTGCAGGTTATAGTTGTGTGTGTGTAAACTAAAGTCTTTGAAAATGAAATAAGTTATTACGAAACGCGTTCAAGTGTCGCGTCAGACTAGAAATAAAAATGAATTTAGGAGAATTGATTTTCAATTACCATCGACAGTGAAAAGAAACATAAGAAATATTGAGAAAATTCGTGTTAGAATTATTAATCTTACTTTTTCGGTCATATTTATTAATATATGTTTACAAGAAAGACTGCTACCTACGGCCCGCCTCCCAACTGTCAATCAGTCAACTGTTACAAACTACTAACTAATGTTAGTAGTTAGTAACTACTAACAACCCACACCCCCAGGAAGCAGCCCATAGCAGCTGTCTAACTCCTGGTACCTATTTACTGCTAGGTAACAGGGACATCAGGGTGAAAGGAACTCTGCCCATTTGTTTCCGCCATGGCCCGATCGATCCCGGGTCCCTAGATCTACGCATCCAGAGCGCTGTCCACTCAGCCACTACGCGCCCCAGCCACTAGATATATGTGTGTGTGTGTGTGTGTGTGTGTGTGTGTGTGTGCGCGTGCGCGTGCGCGTGTGCGTGTGCGTGTGCGTGTGCGTGCGTGTGTCTGTGTGTGAGGGGGGGGGGGCTTCATCCCGGCCCACTCCAGGATGCAGGCACACAACAATTGCCTTACTCCTGGGTACCTATTTACTGCTAGGTGAACAGACACATTAGCTGAACGAAAACGTGCCCAACCATCTTTCTCCCGGCCAGGAATCAAACCCGCGATACCCAAGTGAGAGTCGAGAACGAAGCCATTTAGTTTAGATTGTTTCTTTAGGGAATAATTTCTATCCCATAAAGATACCTTTTTTGAGAACATTTAAGAGTATTTTAATTTATTTTATTTTAATGTTTTTTGAATCATGGTGGAGCATTACCATTTATCAGGAGTGAGAAAGACATTACATTTCCATGACGAACGTTTCTTATCTAATCTCTCATCAGGCAGGAAGCAAATTGGACACCCATTTAATTACGTGTGAATCAAAATGGATGCCTATTTAGTTATGTAGAAGAAAATGGGACGTCCATTTTGGAGGTGTTCTAAGTTCCACTGTCATTGCTCTCGATCAGTTTACTCATATAACGGTGCTTGGTACTCTACGACATTTAACAAGTAACTGCAGTCGTCACTAGAAAGACATTGTTCATTATAGGTAGTTAATTGCAACAACAGTTACACCGGTGATTGTCTCCACGGCTACCTGGTCGGGTGGACCCGACCAGGTGGGTCCGACCAGGTGGGTCCGACCAGGTGGGCTCGACCAGGGCCCACCTGGTCGGCCGGGTGGCCCCTGGTCGGGTGGCCCACCTGGCCGACCAGGTGGCCCCGACCAGGTGGCTGTCTCGCCCAGCACCGTGAGCACCTCTGAGTACCGAGGATCTAGTGCAGATTATATATCCATTATGGAATAAACATTGGTGGTGGAGCTCCACAGTGGCCCGGGGAGGCTTAGGGAGCAGCACACTTGGAGTAGAGGGGTTTTATTTGTTTTGCTCAATTACCTTCATATACATGCATACGTAATCCAAATGTCGCGTCAGGTAAGGAGAGCTTCCACCCAACAAGTACCAGGTTGATGTTGTTATAGATTCAGCTACTCGGAACAAGGTCCAAGTAGCACGGGCTATGGTGAGCCCGTAACTTATCTGGCACAGAAGCGGTGAGTAAGTAC